TGTGATTTATGGGGTGGGTACCGTACTCCGTCTCGCACTGGGGCTAGATATTTCTTAACTATTGTTGATGATTTTTCTCGGGCAACTTGGGTGTATCTATTAAATCATAAATATGAAGCTCCTACTGTCTTGCGTAGTTTCTTTTCCATGATTGAGCGACAATTCAATAAACAAGTGAAAATTGTACGAAGTGACAATGGTACAGAGTTCACTTGTTTAAAATCTTTCTTTGAGAGTCATGGGATTATTTTTGAATCCTCTTGCGTCGGTACCCCACAACAAAATGGTCGAGTCGAACGAAAACACCGTCACATTCTCAACATTGCCAGAGCCCTTCGCTTCCAAGCCAACCTACCCCTTAAATTCTGGGGTGATTGTATTCTCACCGCTGCCTATCTAATTAACCGAACACCCTCTGAGCTACACAAAGGCAAAACCCCATATTCCATGATCTATGAAAAAACCCCCTCATATAGTCATATTCGGGTTTTCGGATGCCTTGCCTATGCCCACAATCAATCCCACCATGGAGACAAATTTGAGTCCCGTTCTCGACGCTGCATGTTCCTTGGCTATCCATTCGGCCAAAAAAGATGGCGCCTTCTCGATTTGGACAATAATAAAATATTTGTCAGTCGAGATGTCAAGTTCTTTGAAAACCATTTTCCTTTCCACTCACAAAATACCCCCAATCTCACAGAACCTAAACCCACTGCTGATTTTTTTGAGGAAGAAATACCCAGTGAAGAATCAGCCACCCAGACGGTCGAAACACTGGACCGTTCTTAGGACCCCGGTTGATCGTTGCTCCAATCCAATCCAGAAAACCCTGCAACATCAGAACCAAACAGCCAACCCAATGACCCAGTCCAACCTTCTTCTGCCCTTGATAACCAAACCCTTCCAACCCAAGACACTTTGCGCCGAAGTGAAAGAGAACGTCGTCCTTCTTCGCGACTGCGTGACTTTGTCACGCACACCATTCAATGTCCCTCTCCTAATTCACTCAAACCAACAACACCTTCAGGTACAACACACTGTATTACGAATTTTATTAATGCTGACAAATTTTCTGTTTCCTATAGATGTTTTTTGGCAGCTATAAGTGCAGATGTTGAGCCTACATTCTTTTCTGAGGCCGTCAAAAATCCGCTATGGGTACAAGCTATGAAGGAAGAAATTCAGGCGCTGGAAGCTAATGGTACTTGGTCCCTCGTCCCCTTGCCTCCAGGAAGGAAAACAATCGGATCTAAGTGGGTCTACAAAATCAAGCACAAGTCTGATGGAAGCATTGAACGCTACAAAGCTCGTTTGGTAGTGCTTGGCAATCGTCAGAAAGAGGGAATTGATTTTAAAGAAACTTTTGCACCAACGGCTAAATTGGTTACCGTTCGCACTCTCTTAGCTGTTGCCGCTGCCCGGAACTGGTTCTTACATCAGATGGACGTTCATAATGCATTTCTGCATGGAGACCTTCGCGATGAAATATACATGACTCTTCCTCCCGGGTTTGCCTCTCGCGGTAAAGGATTGGTTTGCCGTCTTCATAAATCTCTCTATGGTCTTCGACAGGCTCCACGTTGTTGGTTTGCTAAACTCACCTCTGCATTAAAACACTTTGGGTTCCACCAATCCAAGGCTGATTACTCTCTGTTTACTCTTCTGTGCGGCACCATCGAGCTCCGTGTGCTGGTGTATGTGGATGATCTTGTGATCGCAGGAAATGATGAAGGCTTCATTGGCAAATTTAAACGGTATCTATCTGATTGCTTCTATATGAAGGACCTTGGTCTCTTAAAATATTTTTTGGGCGTTGAGGTTTCCCGAAATTCGAAAGGGATTTTCATATGCCAGCGCAAATATGCTCTGGATATACTTTGTGAGACTGGATTTCTGGGTGCTCGTCCAGCTTCCACTCCCCTTCCTCAGAATCAACGACTGGCTCTAGCGTGTGGCCCGCTTCTCACCAACCCAGAGCGTTATCGCAGACTTGTGGGGCGCCTCATTTATCTCACGATCAGTCGTCCTGACTTGGCCTATGTTGTTCATGTGTTGTCTCAATTCATGGGGGAGCCGCGGCAGGAACACTGGGACGGTGTGACTCACGTTCTGCGGTACATCAAGGCCTGTCCTGGGCAGGGGTTGTTTCTTCTAGTACAAAGTGATCTTACTCTTAAAGCTTTCTGTGACTCTGATTGGGCTGGGTGTCCCTTGACTCAGCGTTCTATTACTGGATATTTTATCACTCTTGGCGATTCCCCGGTATCTTGGCGTACAAAGAAACAAAGCGTCGTTTCCCGTTCTTCGGCTGAAGCCGAATACAGGCCATGGCAACTACTGTTTGTGAACTCAAATGGCTGAAATCCCTTCTCCTCTCCCTTGGTGTGCGTCACAAACAGCCCATGCGGTTGTTCTGTGATAATCAGGCTGCTCTTCATATTGCCGCTAATCCGGTCTTCCATGAACGTACAAAACACATTGAGATTGATTGCCACTTTGTACGTGACGAAATCCAACGAGGTGTTCTGTGTACTCGCCACATCTCCACCAATGATCAACCGGCAGATCTCTTTACAAAGGCTTTGGCTTCCGCTCCGTTTTCACATTTACTGTCCAAGCTAGGCATCCAGAATCCGCATGCTCCAGCTTGAGGGGGGTATTGGAACTGAGAAGTCCGGATCCGGAGAAGTCCGGATCCGGAGAAGTCAGGATCCGGAGAAGTCCGACTTCCGAGAAATCTGGATTCCGAGAGATCCGAATTCCGAGAGGTCCGAATACCGAGAAATCCGAACTTGAGAAGTCCAAATCTTTTGGTGACCGAAACCCATTCTAATTGGGATTGATCTTGATTTATTTGTTTCCTAGTTTGATTATGATTTGTTTCCTTGTAGGATTTGTATTCCTTGTCTATTTTGGAATCATCCTCTCCTATAAATAAAGGAGAAACCCCTTGTAATTAGACAGAAAAATTCAATATACAGACTATTTTCTCCCTTATTAATTTCTACAAAACATTTATCTCATTTAAGAGAAAATACGTCCATTAATTAACGGTTAAAACCGTTAGTGGACCTATTGACAAATATACTCTAGTTGGTCCATTTAATGCCTATTAAAAATGCCAAAAATTCCAACATAAATATCCCAACATCACTGCCCACATATTCTTTTAAGTATTCTAAAAAATTAAGGACTTTAGGTTCAAATAGTTTCAAATTTTATGTACCCGAAAAAAGCAAGGCATTATGCTTAATCTAGAATACTATTCAGATTCCAAATGCAAAAGAACACATAAGACACTACCCACCCATTTTTCAAAAATCACTGCCCTCCCATTCTTTCAAACCTCTTTTTTTCTATTTTTTCATTCAAAAACACCAACAACAAAAGCAACACACTGCACTGCACAACTATCATTCATCGTAAAGCACTACAAATATAAGAAAAAGGTCAATAGAGTCATTTCCTTGGCCATGCGCTAATAAAACATATGTTTTCCTAACACTAGTGCTATTAAAAAAATTGGAGGTTGTTTTAGTGCTATATAGGTAATTCTTCCATATTATATTACACAATACTACTAATAATAATTAATAATTATTGAGACTTCATTGTTTCTCTTTATATGTGCACTACTGTGCATTTCAAGATGGTTCTCACAACTTTGTAATTTCACAATGACATTCACAATTTCTCATTGCATTGGGACTTATAATTCAATACGAGCATCGATATCATGTTTCTATGGCTTACAAGAATTATTAGCTTGTACGTTCACTTAATTTGATATGTCCTCCTCTTATTTGGTAAACTCATCTTTGATGATGTTGATGTTTATAGTACTAGTATGGTATTCTATTCACCTATGGTATCCTACGTGTTTTTATTGTTTCCCTCAATTGTTACTATTTGTTAGTGTATATAATCTTTTCAAAATCTACAATCACAAGCTTGAACTTTTGGTTATGTTAGTTATATGAAAATGAGTTTTAGGTCTACTTGTTGTTGGTTGTGTATATAGGCTTAGTATGTTTCAATGATCGATTTTGAAACTTAATTTAAGCTCAATATTGATTGAATGATTAAAATAAATTTTTCTAGATTTGTTGGTTTATTTTTAAAGTCACATTGTTAGATTACCTTTGCTTGTCTACATAAACGTGTTCACAAAATCTAAAATGATTGACATGAGACGAACCAAAATGGAACTTAATAATTCATACCTGATTTAAGTCTAAAGATAAGCATTTTCAGACCAATTAAACACAAAATCGATAAGATCCAAAATTGTTAAGATCCGAAATGGATAAGATCTGAAACCGATTAGACTTGGAACTAATAACACCTAAAACTGCTTCTGCCTTTTATAAACATTTTATATTTCAAATTTTATCTTTTATTTGACATTTGAACTAAATATGTAACTTGCTCCCTTTGTCATAACATGGATTACCATCTCTAAACACATTACAAATGCTTGTGTCTTTTAAATGTATTTTGTTTACAAATTGAACAAATTTTACACATATAAAATATGGGATGAATAAAGCGAGCAAGGTCAAAGGTTTATTTCTCAAGAGTTTATCAATGAGCCAAGAGAACTAATAGAGAAATTAATATATGATCAAAATAACAAGGAATAAACTACCAACTATTTTTCAATTAACTTACACATTTGGAAGTTAAGCCTTCTACAAAGTTCATCTCTATCCATCAGCCTTTTGTGAAACACCTTTTTTTTTCTTCTAATTAAATGCCCCGTGTGGCCCAACCGCCCAAGTTTCTACTTTTTTTTCAAAAAAAAGTAGAAGCTTGGGCCACACGGGGGGCATTTAATTAGAAGAAAAAAAGTAGTACTTTTTTTGCAAGTAAATTAATTTTTTTAAAAGAAAGATTAAATTATTTATAAAAAAATATTTTAATAAATTTTTTATTTTTTTACAATATGGAGAAAGCATTTTTAAAATTTGAATGGTAAAAAATATGGAGTATATACGACGTATAAATTTAAAATAATGCTATTGTCTAAAATAAATAAAAATAAATTATTTTATATCTATAAAAACATTTAAGAGCGCCCATGATTTTGTATAACAGATAAAAATAGTATTGTGTTACTAGTCCTTTTGATGTAGGAGAAAAGGAGAAGTAATGGAGGAGTTGTTAGTTGGGTCCAAATAATCTGATGTGAATGAGAGAGGTAAGATGTAGTCCTCCATGTACTAGTTCTAAGAGCACTGGAAATACTTGTGAAGCCCCGGGACTTTAAAATTTCTCTCTCTACCACGTCAGCTTTAACTTACCTCACAGGTTCAGTGGAAATGGGTTTGAAGCCGCGGGGCTTCAAACCTTCATTTTTTACATTTTTAGATATACATCTTCTAAATTTAAATTAATAAATTTTAATTAATTTATTATTTAAAATAATCGAAAGGAGACTTGTGCATTAGAAAAAATTACATTCTTTAAAAAAATATTACATTCATAAGAAAATACATTCATAAAAAAAAGTTACATTCATTAAAAAATATTACATCCATAAAAAAGCACTACAAAAAAATTACTAATTATTCGAAAAATGATCCCATTTTTAAAAAATGGGAGCTCTTTTTCATCATCGGATGAAGATCATCCCATTTTTAAAATATATTTTATAAATATTTACAATAAATAATCAAATATTTGAAAAATTGATAGAATTGTAGAGAGAAGATAGTGAGAGATGTGTGAGAGATATGTTTGTTTTGAGGGGATCAGGATAATTTATAGGTTTATTTTTTGAATTTAATTTTTTTTGGGTTGACGGCTAAAATAGTCGTTTTTGGCCGATGGGGGAGAGGAGGAACGCGTCAAACGGTTGACGCTGAAGCCATGACGCCGGTTAGAAGCCCTTGGGGGGCAGTACGGTGTTTAACGCCCCCGAACGTTAAGAGCAATGGCAATGGCGTGCCATTTTAATTGGCACGCTGCCACATATGCATATGCCTCGCCCACATCAGATATGCCTCGCTTGCTTTGAGCGTTCCTCCACGGGAAGTGAGGTAGACTCAAGGCTGCCACGCTTCTTTTTTTAATTTTTTAAATTAGATTAAAAATTTAAAAAATGACTGTATAATTTTTAATTGGTTCAATTTTGCCACATCAACGTGTGGCATTCCAATTCTTTATTTGCCATTGTGAATGCTCTAAAAGGGGATGACGCCGTTGGGCGTCACACCCATTGGCCTAATGACCCTATAAATGCTTCTCTCTATTTAGGATAAATTCACACTGATTTTCTCCGTGGAAGGACCGCATCTTTTTCTTTTGTCCATCAATATATACTTAGCTGAATATATACTAGCTCCATTACTACTCAATGATTGTCTCAATGGGGAAGCATGTGTTGTTGTTTCTTCATCATCATCATCTTCTTCTTCTCGTCATTATTAATGCGCTACTCTTTAAATCTGGTCATGGGTTATTGAATAATAATAAAATGGATCAAGTCCATGGACTACTAATCATGTCCTTGCGTGGAAAACTTGCAACAACATCATTCTCAGAATGGGAAAACTTGGGAACTACCCGTGAAGAAGATGCTGATGATGATGAAGAAGATCTGGAGCTAAGCCCAGAAGCTGATGATGGGGCGGCGGCCGATCTAATCTCCGGCGGCCTCCCGGGGCAGCCTAGTGGCGGCGGCGGGAAGCCCTTCGAGCAGTACGCAGGCTATGTGAACGTTGACGAGAGGAACGGGAGAAGTCTTTTCTATTACTTTGTGGAGTCCGCCGCCGCCGCGGAGGATCCTCACACTAAGCCTCTCATCCTTTGGCTGAGCGGAGGCCCTGGTCTCTCCTCTCTCGGCGCCGGTGCCTTTCTCGAGATTGGTCCTTTTGGTGTCAATCCCGATGGCAAAACTCTCTACCCCAGAAAATTTTCTTGGAATAAAGGTACATATAATGCCGATAAATACTTCATCCGTTCCACAAAAACCTCCCGGTTTTGACTTTAGGAAAAAATAAGGAAAGTGTAATTTTGGTTGATTTTCCAATTTTGCCCCTGATGTGATGAGAAAAAGTAAGATGTGATAGTTTGGTTATTAGTGAAAAAGTATGATGTGATAGGTAGTGTATGAAAAAGCAGGGGTAAAAGTGGTTTTTTAATAGAAAGTGGAAGTGTTTTGTGGAAAGCAAAAAAACGAAAGGGGAAGGGTTTTGTGGAACGGAGGAAGTATTCAATTAGATAATTAATACTCCCTCCATCCTAAAATTAACTTCACATTTGATTTTTCACGATCTCCAATGCGACACTTTGACCATTAATATCTCCATTTTTATATGAATATATATTACAAAAATAACATATTTCAAAACTATGTTTCAAAATGAATCTATTGATAATAAATTTATATGAAAATTCAATATATATTTTTCATAATATACGGTCAAAGTTTAAAAAGTTTGACTGCAAAAGTCAAATTGAGAAATTAATTTTAGGACGGCGAGAGTAATGATATTAACTCCAAGGTAATTGGTAACCGATGTATGATGCAGTTGCAAATATATTGTTTGTGGAGTCGCCGGCGGGAGTTGGTTTCTCCTATTCGAATACATCCTCCGACTATGACAAATCGGGAGATAAGCTGACTGGTAAAGTGTAAATCGTCCACTTTATTTATGAGATTTTAGTACTCATTTTTATTTAACATTGTGTTTGGTTTGTGTAATTCGAAAAAGAAGAGGAGAAAAATGATTCTTTTCTATGTTGTACATTTAAATGGAAGAAGAATTGTTTTTTAGAAAAATTTGTTCCATATATAGAACTAAAAGGTAAGATGTTTCCATAAATAAGATCAAATAAGTTTTATTCCCTTTATTTGCATATATATGCCTTCATTAGCAACAAGTGTTTGATAATGACTGATTATGCGAATGACTTTACGGATATACTCATTAACAACAAGTGTTGGATACAAACGGATTATTATTTCAATGACTGTTAAAATTGTTTTTAATAATGCCTTATTCTATTTGAGTTGTGTAAAAAGTGGCATTTTAGAACTTTTCATTGCCGAACATAAGAGTAATAGGACCAGTCTATTTGAAAAAAAATAATATGTCTAAGTCTCATTTACGTAAATTGTCCTTATTTTTATTCCCTTTACTTCATTTCTTATTTTATTTACAATTCCTTTCAGTTTTTTTTTTCCTTCTCTAATTCAAGAGGAAAAAATTATTTACTCCCGTAATTTATTTTCTTTTTCCTTTGAAATGCTTTGAACCAATCTTAGAATGAGGAAAAAATTAGAGATTGCGGGTAGGTATAGGCCCGTGGGGAGCTTACCATAGGCCATGGAAATTTTTGTAAGTGATATAAATGTAATATGTAATGCTTCCTGCCATCCTTCAATGTTTCTTTCCCATGAAAATGCTACCGAGGTCTACGTTCATGTTCTCTTAGATTTAATTTTTTTACTTATTATTTATTCTTCTTAAAATCAGATCAGATCAGAAATAGTTTTAAATATAACTAAATTCAAACCAGATCAGATTAGAACTTAGGATAATTTACCTAAATATGACTAAAACATAATGACTTTTTCAATACATGACCATATGTTTTTATTTCACAATGTTCGTAGAACTATTGGTCATTATCTATTAGTCATTATTCATCTTAATGTCCAGCATGACTTGAACATTATTCTTCTCACTAGTCATTATTAAGTCCTATTTATGAAATAAAAAAATTTAAGTCCTACATTGGAAAATGACTTATGTTTTAGTCTTATTCAATGCAAATTTCACTAGAACTTATTATAATAAGATCAGGTGAAGTAAACACGGCCTACCTAAACCCTCTGGTTTATTATGTTCAATCAAAATTATTTTCAGTTTAGTTTGTTTAAATTTTAGTGAAATTTCTTTTTAAAAAAATCTTATATTACTACTACATTTAATTTTAAAAAAAATATTTTGACTATTTTATTATAACAAATATTTATACAAAATAAGTAGAATAAAGATACAGAGTATAATTTAGTCTGAGTTTTCAACGAAATCAAATCACATCAGATTCATCCAAATCAATTTCAGCCACCTCAAGTTAGAAAGACGTTGAAAATTAAATATTGTTTTAGTGTTAATAATTTGATTTTATCTGAATTAATATGATTTTTTTCAGTAAAAATAAGTAATGCTTAAGTCAAAAATAAGATGAAGAAATCATAAACCTTAGTCTTGCGTTGAAGAAGGTGAAATTATGAGGTAAATGGTTATTTTCCCGCTTAAAAAGACTAAAAAATAAGTTTATATATATACATTTTGGTGGTTTGAGACTCAACCTCATTACTCTAAATTGATACAAAATGTAACAAGGGATATGATGCTTGTGCAAAAATCTCCTCACTATGGAGGAATATGGTGTATTTTAAGACTATGAGGTACTATGTTTTTTTGAGGTAACGGTCTTGTGCAATTATCTCTATAATTTTTGAAGAGTGACTCCTATTTTTTATTTAATAAAAAATAAAAAAATTTAAAATTTTTTTTCTAAACTCCTTCCGTCCCAATCTACTCCATATTTTTAATTTCTTTGTTCAAGAAAAAGACGAATGGGTCATGATTAAGGTAGGTAAGATTATTTAGAGAAAAGTTGTGCAAAAGTGCTAATTTAATGGAAGAGATCGAGTATAGGAAGAATATAGGGGAAGAAATACAGGAAAAGTGGGGAAAAAAGGAAAAAAGATAGTGGTGCATGCAAATTCTATAATGGATTTAAAGTTCACTATGAACCTATATATGAATAAAATAAATATTTTTTTATTACTTAAATAAGTACTCCGTATTTATTTTTTCAAATAAAAAAATTTATTTGAGAAGATCTACAAAATTTATTTGGTGTACTCTAAATGTACACCACCCTCCTCTTTTCCATTCATTTTATTTTATTTTTATTTTTTATTTCTTTTTAAATTTTTCTTGCCTTTTTATGTGGTGATGGAGGGGATGAGGGATATTTGGGGTACACTTTTGGTGTATCCCTAGCATTTTCCACAAAATTAATATGCACCAAAAGTGCATCAAACAAACATCTCATGTGGAAATGTCCCCTTCCCCTCCTTAGAGCACTGGTAATGGTCATGAAGCCCCGGGGCTTCAAACTTTCTCTCTCTGCCACGTCAACTTTAACTTACACCCAAAATTCACTGAAAATGGTTTTGAAGCCCCGGGGCTTCAAACTGGGGCTTCAAACCTTCATTTTTTACATTTTTAAATATATATCTTCTAAATTTAAATTTATAAATTTAAATTAATTTATTATTTTAATTAATCGCAATGACACTATTGCATAAAAAAATTAAATTCATTATAAAAAAAAATCTTACATTCATTAAAAAAACATAAAAAAAATTACATTCATTAAAAAAAATTACATAAAAAAACAACAGTACAAAGAAATCACTAATTATTCGAACGACTAAAGATATGCTCGATCAAATCCGCCGTTAGTGCATTGTGAATCTCTCGGCTTCGAATTTCTTGGCGGTTGCGTCGTTTCTTTTCTTCGGCGATTTCTTCGTACATAGGCACCTCCTCGTCCGGGTTGTATTGACAAATCGCAGACCCGTTATCCTCTATGATCATATTATGAAGAATAATACATGCGTACATGATATTCCTCATTTTTGTCTGAGAATAACATTTCGACGGACGATCTAGAATGTGCCACTTAGCCTTCAAGACCCCAAAGGCTCGTTCAATATCTTTTCTCGC